GCCTCCCCCGGCTCCGCTCAGCTCCGGCTGCGGCCGCTCAGGGCCTGGCGCTTTGGGCCGCTGCTCGGCACCGCTTCTTTGCTGCCTGGCGATTTGTCTCCTCTCATTACTGCCGGGCGCCCGCGCTAGCGGCCCCGCGACGGCGCATGAACCGGGTTACAAGTTCAATGGAAAATTACGCCGGGATGGGGCTGGGTGGCAAGTGGGAGGGATGGCGCGCGCTCCCCCAGAGCCTGGGAACAACACGGCTGCTTCGCGGTCCAGCGCCCTGGCCAAAACGCTGGTTTACAGGGAATGCCGGCCTGCATGTGCACGCGTGTGCTGCTGGATGTGCTTCATGCGGCAATGCTGCAGGCACACGCACGCACACCCAGGCTCCGCATCTCCACGTCTGCCTCCCGCTGCCTGGCGGAATCGCCCCAGAACCGGCTGCGCTGAACGGCCCCAGCGCACGGGTCTAACCAAAGCTCCCAGTGCGCGAGCCCGAACCGACAGCGCTCACAAAAACGTGTTCCGAAAAGCCTCTGCTCACAAGCCCAAAATAAAGCTCAGCGAGGTTAACCTAGCACAGTAACAAAAGTTGCAACACCACACTATAAGGTTAAAAAGAAAATAGTATAATAAAGGAAATACAAAGGCTTTGGCATGGTTTTTACAATCAACAATGGTTAATTTTGATATGTAGTTGTGAACAACTTCAAAACACTTAAGTTTAAAACTCTTGCAAGCACTTTTAATTGATTAGGAATGAATTCTAGATGCACAAAAATGATTGGACCGTGAACAGTAGTACAACTATATCTAAGAACAATTAACTTTTGCCGACCAAAAAAGAAACGTATGATGCATGAAAATGTGTATAAAACATCTATAGAATATTCTTGTCAAATATAAATGAAATTAACTTTATTATAGAAATCATTCTGGGAGATTTCTAGGGAAGACAAATACTTACATTTCGACATAAAACAAATTGGATTATATCGAAGACACAATCTACCTTTTATCTATCAAACTCTTTTCTTCGTCGAAGTTCTCTCTTAACCCTTGTTTGCACATAGCTTCGTCCGTTAACAACCTTTGGAAATACCAACAGATATTTTTCTTACATAAATCTAGTGCGTACTGTTCCAGGTTTAATTATATGCAATGGAATGATACGAACTTGGAACATCAATCCAAAAATCTATGAACAGATTGGTAGAAGTATTCGATATATCTTGATAAAACTCTTAAATTCGTGGCAAAGCTTGTTGATCATGGCTTCTTTTTTTTTTTTTTCCTTTTTTTTTTTTTAAACAACTTCATGACCAACACAGATCAAACATCCATCCAGTCTACATTGTTCTTTTTTTTTTTCATTATAACATACAAATGCCCATTTACAAATAATACACCAAAATGAATAAAAGTTTGGATACCAAAATGAAGATTTGTTCCAACTGATATAATGCCTTCAGTGTACAAAGGTCCATGTTAAAGTCTTTTCCATGTGTTACAGCATACGGCACAGTTGCAGTACAGGAGTACTCTGAGAGCCATTCTTCCTTTATAAAATACTGCTGAACATCCAACTGTTGTCCATATAGTCATTTACGGAATTAACACATGTTTTACTGTAATCTTGGCCAGTATTGAGACATATCAGGTTCACTGCCAGGAACTTGAACTGGAACTGACACTCCAGGGGAAATGAGACCTGAAAATTGAGTGGGAAAATGGATATTTTAGATTTTTTTTTTCCTGTACATAGCACAATTTGTGCATTGGGCTTTTGCTCAATGTATGTGGGTAAGTGCTGCATGCCGCCACCTACCAGCCTGCAGGATCCGGGGTTGGGGGGGCATATTTTTTTTTAAATCTGTGCACATCTAACTGATTTGTTGTTATAAATAAACTGCTCTGCTTTGAGAAAAATGACAGAGCCTCAGCTCTTTTATATCAGTTTGGAATTCAGCCCAAAATGCACCAGACATTTCTGGGGTTTTTTTGTTTTTAATGAGTTTAGCTTGCCCCTGTGTGCACTCACACTTGCCCTTTTTCTTTTTTTTTCCTTTTTCTTTTGCCCTATTTTGCCTCATTAAGCATAGATTCACATTTCTGCAGGCTTGCTGCCTTGTTGGTAACTTCAAACCTTTAACAAAAAGCAGCTGCTGGACGCAGGTCCCGCAAACACGAGGGCACCCTGCTCTTCCACAGCCACTCGCGCTCGCGGGCGCCGGCGGCTCCGCTGCGCTCGAGCACTCACCTGTGGAAGTGGTGCCAGAGGTGCCCATGGGCTGGCTGTTCATGTGTGTCTGCATGTGCGGCGGGGTGTAGGTGTCATAGCTGCGGCCGTTCACCGACGGGCTGGTGGGCAGCATGCAGGAGTAGGAGGAGGTCTGGCTGGGCACGGGGGGCTGCGGGAGGGAAGCAGGGAGGGGGCAGAGAGGGTGTCAGGCGGTGGCCCCCGCGCACGGGGACTCGCGGCCCGGCCCGGGCGCCACTCAGTACCGGCCCGAGGAGCGGGAAGCTGCCCGGGAGCCTCCGTTCACGTGTGTCAGCACCGGGCACCCGGTGCCCCGGCCTTGCGTATCGCCACAGAGCAACTTGGCCGACGTCATTGCTCCCCACGCGCTCCAGAGACTCTAACTTTATTTGGTTCATTTTGGTTCAGCAATTAGTAACATCGTAATTGCCGCGGCGCCGGAGTCACCCTGGCTCTAATCTGCTCGCCTGGCTCCAGCAGTGGTCAATGCTGCGCCGCAGACAAAGCTGCAAAACTCCCGTAATTGGCCAGCACCTTCCTAGGCCAACCCCACCATTAAAAAAGGAGGAATTTTGCATCTGAAAGGTCTATAGAAACAGACCCCAAAGGAATAGATTTCTTCCTAACCCAGCTGGTGATCAGCTAATGCTTTCAGGCATGAGGATTGACAGCTCTTGCAATTCTGGCTTAGCTAGCATAACCACTGATGCTAATCACATCCTTCCCTTTCTCAGGTGTTCCTAATGTGCCTCCGCCACATTACCTATGCAGAAAAGATCTAATCCTTCCAGCGTTTTATTAGGGCTGCGATTTCAACAACACTGCAACAGTGAGTTCCATAGGTTAACTGTAATTTTCTGGAAAAGGTGTTTTCATGCCGAATTAGCCGCCTTTTAATTTTGAGGGCCTTCTCCTTTTAAAAGTGCTGGGAAAGGACTTGTCCGAGCGCCAGGACCTAGTGCCACCCTTCCCCTCGCGCCTCTTCACTGCCTGGAAGGGGGCAGCTCTGCTCTCCTGCACCCGGGGCGTTGGAACAGCCATCCCCATGTCCCCATGTCCTGCTAGCATGTCACTTACTTGCATAGGCAGGTTGTTAGCCATGGTGAAGCTAGGCATGGGCGGCAGGGCGCTGTACGTGTTCGTGAGCGCCGTGTCCGTTCTGCCCAACATGGAACCTGATGTGAAAGAGGAAACTATAATAGAATAGACAGATAGATGAGTGCATTAGTTCAACCACAATTAGAAACGACAAGAGAGGCTCGGGGTCTGTTTTTCCCCGGGGGATGAATGAACAGGGGCGGCTCTGCCGTATTACCGGGGGTGGTTGGTTGCGGAATAGGTTGGTAAACGCTCGTGCTGAAACTACTGCTGATGGGAATGTGACTGGGAGTGTTGCTCGCTTGTCTCCGCTGGTTCCTCAGCTTCTCTTCCCTTCGCCACTTGGCCCGTCTGTTAGAAAACCACACCTGGAAACACAGGGTTTGAGAGACGTGAGCAACAGAGCCGGGGCCAGAGGCACGCACCCCCAGGCAGAGCTGGGGCGAAGCTCTCTCGCCACTCAGCGAAGCCAAACAACATTTGCTCTTACGCGCTGCGAGAGCGCAGCACACAAACACCCGACCGTGAATAGCGGTGTCCCCACGCTTTGAAAAGCCAGTAATAAAAACATTATAATAGTAATAGTAAAATTATAGTAGCAATAATTACATGGCAGCTTTGGTACCTGTATTCTTGCTTCAGGCAGGTCTATTTTAGCAGCTAGTCTCTCTCTTGCAAATACATCGGGATAGTGGGTTCGCTCAAATTCTGCCAAGGGAAATATTATTGTATTCGTTAAGAAGAATTAAAACGGCTGCCTGGAAAGTCGTGATGATTGTTCTTACGCTACCTATGCTCCCCGTTCTGGGAAGAGACATTGCTGCAAGAGCAGGAGCTGAACCTTCCCCATGCGTGCGTTAGAGACGGTGCCTCCTGGGGACTGTGGCCAAGAGGATTTGCAGGCTCGGGCCCCGTGCTAGCGTCTCGTAGATGGGATAGTTGGGTTTCCCTTCACTTCAGGGGTCCCTGATGCCGCTGTGATGCTGCCACCCCCAAGTGAAATGGCATTTAAAGGGTTAAGAGCAGAGGATGGGGCCAAAGAACTGTCCTAGCCCCGAGGTGCCTCTGAGCCCAGCCCAGGAAAAGGGCATCTGGGGCCGGCCCCGCAGCCGCAGCCACGGGACCGGCACAGCGAGCGGCTGCCCGGGGCGGGGCAGGGGCGCACCAC